TTTTTGTCAGTTATTTTAAATATTTCTTTAACCGAGTAATGTTGATTTCGAGCATCAATAGTCGATCTTTTTTGCAGTTCATGTAAGTTATTTTTTCTCTCATTTAGTTTATTTCAATTTGAACACTACATGCAATGTAATGCCAGCCGTTTTTAGTTGGCTTTATTAGTATGTTTTGTTAAATAAATGGTTCGCCGGACCGACTGCACATACGTGGCCGAACCTGGCATGAACCTTACCTTATGTAAGTGTGTGTTGTACATTGTCGGATGTGACGAGTCTAGTAAAGACGACTACTGATGAGCTGTTCGGGAAATTATGCCATTGTAGGCATTATTTGTTCAGCGCCATCAGTGTTGAGTTTGTTATTTATGTTGTTTTTATTTGCATGATTTTTCCGAGACGTCTCTTGTGAATATAGTATAGCGCAATCTGATTGGCCAATCAAGTATTTAGTAATTTGGGGTGTTTCGGAGCACGGATGAATACATTTTATGATATAGGCGTGCATTTCATTGCCAAACTGTTACAATTCTACAATTTATAGGCGACGTCGAGAAGAAGACAGCATACGACTTGTGTGTGTTACTTCGGCAATTGTACGCAGGGATCAGGAAAAGAAATGGGCAGCTGTGCTCCTGTAAATCGATGACGACGATCAGATATGTCCCACAGCGGCACTTCAAAAATAAGATCGGCGTCGATATACCTAACAAAACTTTCTATCCAGCAAAGGGGTTATTTGCTTCCATGCTTGGCATGTTAAAGGCCGGGGGGGGGGGGGTATTGTTATAAATTTATTCAATTGAGGCCGGTAAAATCTTCGAAGTATGACCAAGTCGCATATTGACACTCAGTTTGATAGCTCGGGACTTATCATCCAGGATAAACATGCTGACAAAGAATGACCATAGCTAAGTTGAGGGCCAAGCTAGGATAATTTATGCGACACCTGAAAGTTCGATCTGGCCAGTAAAATCGTTTGAGTAATTAATTGGTAAAGCTCAATCATGGGTGATAATATGCCAGTGGGAAAAATACTGAAACTGAAGTAAATGTTGTTAGCTGCCAAATGATGTCATATATATATATATATACCAGCCACTGTTTGCGAGCTAAAACTGTTACAACCCTAGATCGCAGCGGATTCGAGGCTCGACATATAATGGGAGAGGGTGGCCATAAATGCGTAACGACGTCACCCTGGCTATCGTAATCACAGGAAGAATACATTCACAACGAGCTTATCAACTCGCCCGTTGTGTGACCTGTTCTAACGCTCTATCACAGCAAGAAAAGAAAAGAAGCAACACAATTATATATTATAACTGTTATAGTCGTGTAGTTGTAGTCCCCAACTAGTAGAGACGGACGCAGTGAATCATATATGAAATGTGAATTGCAGAAAATTAAAAAAAAAAGTCTTGTGTATTGTTTTCAAATAAATGTCAACACATTGTAAACAACTAAGAAATGTTAAAACGTGTTTATAAGTCTAATTACATTTCTTTGATCATTCACATTCACACTGATATTGCATGGCCTTATTCGGACACTGGTATAGTCTATTTTCCTCTCGAGATTATGAGGTACCAAAGTGCAGCCTGCGGCTTCGTGAAATAGCAGCCATCTCAGGTACTCGCAGTCCCTCGGGGCGAGCGTATAATAGTGCGCGAATAAGACCATGCAATATATGCTTACAATACGTGTTATATTCAATTTATTTCTTAACGTCTACCTATTGTATTACCCATTTTAATTGTGTTCATTACTCGGCTGATATTAGAATGAATCAATACGAAACTCGCCTTAAAATGAAACGGAGGTGCAACCTTCACTACTGATTCCATGAACCAATATGTTGGTCTTGGTTATCCATTTTTAGATTTATGAAATGTTGTGAGGGGTAGTTATAGTCGAGTGCATGCGGTAATTGTAGACACCAGAGCACAATGCTGCTTTAAAATCTGCACATGTGTTGTCGTAAACATACCTCACTCACCCAGTAGTGTGGTCTGTAAGTACGAAGATTATGTTGGACCACCCCTCCCCTCAATAATGGTATAAATCTATAAGCCTCGACGACACGATCAAAATAATGGTATTGTATACCTCATACGACAGGTAGTCAATTTACGAAACATACCCGTTTGGTCGGTCGACTGAGCACAGTTAATGACCGTCTACATGAATTAACCTGACACCCGACAGCACACACTACATACAGTTGCCATCATAATTAAATATATTCACACTTATTTATATAGCAGAATTGAAATAAATCCGGCAAAATATACCAGATAACGTATCACCATAAAGATAAAAAGGGGACTGTTTAGCTCTATGGGAAGACAGTGCTGATGTACGTCTGTGTGACCTCATACTGCCATCGATATGGTGCTATGTGTCCAACTATATGATGTCACGGGTATTTGGATTTAGACGAATTGGAACGAAGCTTGCATATAAATTAAGACCAGTCAAGCGTGAGTCACAGCAAGGAACGTTACGGCGGACATCTCATTGTCGATGTTTACTATGTCAGATCAGTTGCTATAGATACTACGCGATTTGGAACACGGCGCTAGCCCTGTCTGATACAGGTAAGTCAACGAAAAAGGTCAACGACAAGTTTTGAACAGTTTTGCTTTGACAGAGGGGTGATTGGTATATTTTACGTTGGCACTACTGACCGTTTAACAGTGCTCCGCAGTAACGGGATTAGTGTCAAACGCGTAGTGACATGACACAAATATTCACATCGTTGTACTTCGAAAGCTACACAGACATTTTGTCCGGAATCGTGTGAAAAATGTTTTTGTTTTAAAGTTAAGCGAATCTATCACATACAGAAGGCAGCCCGAATAAGTTTTCAATTGTATAATCAACGTATACAGTCTGGTCATGGAACTGTAAACATCGTGAGTCGAGTATAGTATAGGATGCCGCGCTTGACCGACGCTTCACAAAGAGGGGCTCGTTAATCGCTTACTGTCCTTTATAAGTAAAAGCATTGTTGTCCTTTTTACCAGGGCTATCACATTCAGTAACAATAGTTCATGGATTTTTTTTTATCTGTATCGTCTTACGAAGAGTCTCGATAGATTGGTACAGTGAATTAATATGACCGTGAATGTTATAGTAAATACTATCATGAGGGGAAATACACTTTTAAATTAAATTTCGTTATGAGGTAAATTTTGTGAAAAAATCAAAAACGTTATGAAAGGCGACCCGTGTTAGCGTGTTTTCTTTAACTCTGTAAAAAACTCTCATGTAACAACGGTAGTTGCATTTACCAGCCCAATACACCTATCTTATATGTAGCGCCCTCACGCGACTAAACGCTGACATCAAGAATCACGTCGATAAGTAATGCCATTTAAATATACAACGTCGTTTGTGCTAAAGTTATAAGTCTTCCGGAATATAGCATATCTTTGAAAAGATATGTTTACGGACAGACGACCACATATTAAAACATAGATACTGTAGATGAAGAGATTTCTACACATTTACCGCACGGAAGTGCTTCATGTCTGAAGGATATAGCTTAACAACTTAAATGTGTAATACTGCCGTTCTTTCACTTGCATGGCATGCAACATATATACTACGAGACCGTGTAACGTGTTATGTTTCCCTTGCTACACTAGACAATGAACAGTACCCAACAGGATATATTGAGGGTCAATATGACCTACATTTCTAACAATATTGACGTTGAGAGGGTCATCAATGAAATACGGAAAAAGAATCCAAGAGTGTTCAATGTTGCAGATGAAGATAGACTACAGGTAAGTACATAGGAATTAGTAAATAGGACAAGTACCATGTTATGAAAAACCTGATGAGACAATTTGTATAACTCGTGACCATGACAGCCAATCAGATTCGGGTACATGAAAATATATATACAATATTTCAATGATCTACCTTCATCCAGGAAACTTCCATCCGAATTTACGCTAAACACTTGTTGTCAGGGGACACGATATACGGCAATATTCATGAAATGAATACTTTGCTACGCGTGCCTTCACTATTTTACTATCATATTAGCAATTTTGCTTAATTTTAACTGCTCTCCCGGGTTGGTCGCTTCGATTTCCAATCTTCCCTTGTGCAGTTCAGAACGTTAGTGAAGTGTGGATTGCGCTTCTATATAAAGCTGTAGTGTTCGAGTTTCTTACGTATTTTTGCGTGTATACAATGTATAGTATATGTGTTGGAACTCGCTAGTGTTGATATACATCTAAATTAGGTCGTGCGAAGCTCCGTTCAGTGGTTTCATGCGAACTTGAGCTTCGTTTGGTGTATGGCAGCTCCTGGAGCATGGGGTGAGGTTGACGTCAGTTGGTGGTTGTAAAATAAGTGCTTATTTAATTATAAATTGATAAAATCATATAGTTCGTAAAACGCCATGATAACCGATTACAATTTTGCCTCTGCTCTTGAACATTTCCAGTTTATTAACTTGTGATCATGATGCACTCATCTCTACAAAGAATGCTCGGTGGGTGGCACTATCCACTGAAGCGTCAGTATTTTTTTTGTTTTAAGATTTATTCAATATACTAATACACATATTCACTCAACAGTGGTGAACATGCATTTGTAGCGTCCCTCATATTCGTATCGGTTGCCATTGAACTATTTGAGTTGGTTAGCCTGCATGTCCACTTCTGTCGGGGTGAACATTTGTTTAATAGCACTCCATTGAATTACACATCAACACAACTGTACTCTACGATATTAAGCAATTACAAAATAATATTATTCAGTGAAGCACTAACACTCTGTAATATTATTCAAGTGCGCTCTTATGTCTTTCAGAGAAGATTGCCAGGTGAGCATAAATTAGCAGAACTGATTAGAATACTCGAAGTACACGATTACGGGTATCAACTTCTTTACAATGGCATTGAACAATGGAGTCGAACCTCCAAAGTATTGGGAAGACTTGATAAGGGAATTGTTAAAAAGAAACCCAAAGATGAGTCTCGTGAGTATTTCGTAATTATTATTATTATTATTAAAGATTATATTGAAAGCTCAGTTTGGACTTCTGGGATACGAGGGAGAATATAAACAAAAACAGGCGGCATCTTATTTGCATTGGCAAATCGTAAACTGTAGCAATATTTGGCGTTTTGCATCGGCAAGTCAGTGGCCATGTTTTTATAATTGTGACATTAATACTAATAATGTAATTTCATATGAAAGGGTTGCGCTTGTTCATCGATTATTCTATAAAATAAATCGGATCATATAAATTAATCACGACAAGCGTATCTGTATGACACACCCACAACGATTTAAATATGTAAATCTTTCATCTTCCGCACTATTAAATAACAATGCATAATTTTCAAACATGCTCGTAGCGGAGACACTATTCTAATCGGTCGTTATAAAACAAAAACAGTATATATTATGCTATTACGATCGAGAATTGTACCGCCCTTATTCATTGTTATATTATACTAGCGTCGTACATTACACAATATTACTATATTTGGCACTATCCACAATCATATTGATTATAATAAACAATATCAATACTATTTTGAGACGCTTGATGGCGCCATTGCGACTACGCTGCGTTCATAAACGAAAGAACTTGTGAACCAGGCTGGACCTCAACTCAGCAAAAGCACAGGCATATTACATCACGAAAGCCAGATTGTGTGGTTGGTTCATCTCATCGATACCTCTCGCAATAATATGAGGTTATTACGAGGATACCTCAAAGTATGCACGAAGACAGTACAGCTGGAGTATCGATCGACGCCTACGCGCGTAATCATTCCATATATGGAATTCGCATTTCCTAATACATGTATGTTATAGGGTGAAAATATCTCGTATAATACCGCAAAATTACGGCACGTTGTACTTATGGCGTTACGTGTCAGATGTATAATAATACATGTCTTCATGCCATGTGTTCTGTTTCCTAGGTGAAGGTATTATCAAAGGAAAAACAGTTCTTACTCACCAGCGCGCTACCCGAAAGGACGAAATCAGTGGCGCACAAAGTTATATTTGTTTATATTATCTGTTATACACCCCCTTGTGCGGTACGCCCTCTAGTGACGAATGCTTCTGTGACGTTAAAATGAGTGAAGTGACGTCTTCTCAACGTCAATATTGTTTTAAACTACGGCTGACGTAAATAAAAACAAGGTTTATTAGAG